TGCACTGATTAAATAATCAGAATTCTTATAAGTTTTTTTCCCGCTACTTAAATCATAGTAATAACCTGGTTCATCTTTGTCAGAAAAACCGCAATAATCTCCATCATCGTTATCATCAGAGAATTCATCATCGTTATCATCAGAGAATTCACCATCATTTTCATTATACTTATCGAATACATTTACAGTTTCTGGTTCCTTTGAAATCGATTTAGCAGATACGCTTACCTCAGTTTCTGATAAAGATTTGACATCCTCATTTATCATATCTTCCGAATTGGAGGTATGAGATGATTCAGTAGATATTCTTACCTCAATATTTGATATGTCTTTCGAGCTAGATGGTTCAGTCACGTGCACGTTACAATTTGTAACGCCGATCTTTTCTTGATATTTAACATCTATACTAATAGATTTTTTAGGAAAACAGTTTATAATATCTTGAATTTGGTTGTCAGTTAAACTCGAAATTGCACTTGCGCTAGATGTTATTGCTCGAACTTTTTCGACGCCTACTCCTGTGAGTAATATATAAATTTTTTTTGCTCTGAATGTTTTCTGTCGCAAGTTTACATTGGTGATATCTGGGAGAAGTGTTTTAATCTCATTGTATACTAATGTCCTTGCCGTTTGATCATCAATTTTATTTATATGCTTAATCTCATCAATTCGATCTTCATATGCTTTGTAGTAACAATACCAACATAGAATCTCTTTTTGCCTAACTTTTATTGCTAGAATAAATAAATCGGCTATATTTTGTGCTATAACTTTGGTAGGTCCAGTTATTATAGCTTCTAATGAGAATTCAGGAATTTGTACATCAAATACATTATTAATTCTATTATCATTATTTGCTTTGAATACAGATAAATCGTCTCTTAAATCTTGTTCTATTTTTTTATTATATGGAATTTTTATTTCGGTATTTTGTGCTTGATCAGTAGGTATTGATTCTGATTGGGTGGTTTTATGCTCATGGGTGTCGATAACAGGATTTAACTCATTATTTTGTATATCGGAAGAGGAAGATGTGCTTTGCATTGATCCTTGACTCTGAAGTTTCTTTTTTCTGATTCTTTCCCTTATTTCATTACTAATATTCTCTTTATGTATTGTTTCTACAAATTCAAGAATCTCAACTGAATCGTCATTAATAGTATCTTGTGATAAAGAAGATTTGGGCGTTTCAGATTCTGCTAATGATTCAGGTCTTGTCGGGTTATGTTCTAGTTCAGGTAAGTGATCAGGATTATTGTCTTTCTCCCTGTCAGACTGGCCCTTGATAGGAAATAATGACCCTTTAGACTCATCTCTTATTTCAGAAGAAATAGTACTTTGTGCCTGGGTCTGAGTGTTTACTGATAATTCTGAACAAGCCGTAGACTGCAAAATATCGTTTGTAGAAGATGCGTCTTGGTCATTAGTGATGACTTGGGTCTGCTTCTGTTCCAATTTCGTGACTCTATCTTTTAACTCAGCATTCTCGGCAGTAAGCTTGGCAGTATCTGTTTTATTTTTCTTTTCTAGTTCTTCGAATCTAATCTTGAGCATTACATTTTCCTCTATAGCTTGTTTCAATCTTGTGTTCTCAGCCTTGACTTCGGTATTCTCCTTTCTAAGTTCATCAATTTGAAGAGCAAGCCTAGAGTTTAATTCTCTCAAGGTATTGATTGTTAATTGATCGTTCGACATTGTTTTATTACAAAATAGGATATATTCAAAAGGTTAATCACATGAAATAATATTGATGTAAAAAATTGTGCTTTGCTTTATTGATTATAATAAAAATCGAAAAGAATCAATCTATCTATTGTTCTATACTATTGCTACACTACAAATTTTTCATTTGTCTAAACTATCTGTACCAACACTATCTATAATCCAGCTTCATTTTTATCTAGTTATCAGTCATACATGCAGTGTCAACAGTGAATTAACAATATTGAGCTTAGCAAAATGTTGCTTTCTGCAATGCTAATAAAGTTTTCAGAAATCTGTGTGAAAGAATTATTAGTTTCCAGGCCCAAAAGCTAATTCATCTGGCACAACCGAAATTACCTTAATTGCGCGTTCGGCAAAAATGAAATTGTTGATTATTTTTCGAAAACCCGTGCAGCACCTTATGATCGGCCAATCAGAAAGCTGGTTCACTATATATGAATTACCGCGGTAAAAAAATAGTTCTCTAGAAGTTATGGACGCGAAACGAGAAAGAGAAGTTGCTGTCAAAGCCGTACTTAAAAGTGAATGTAACAATTATCTTTATGAGTACCTAATTCTAAGAAGGGAACAAGATTCTTTCATAGAAACTTCTCAATCTGAGCATGCTAGATATTTGGCTGAGCTAACTGAGCAACAAAATTTTAATGAACGCGCACAGCTCGCCTTAAATGCATTCGAGGTAAATGTGTATTTTTTCTTTGCTTTACAACGTTCTGACTTGACTTTACCCAGCAAGGGCATCCGCTGGTTTGTTCTTGTGATGATCCGCTGGTTTCGGGTAATGTCAAGCAAGACTTTGACAAGCAAAAGTATCCGCTGGTTTACTTTTGTGATGATCCGCTGGTTTCGTCAAAGTTTGTTTCTCTTCATCTAAGCAAGAGCATCTGCTGGTTTGCTCTTGAGATAATCCGCTGGTTTGGGATGAAGTTGGATGTAATCAATGAAAATCAGGCGTTTTTATTGCGTAAATGGTTGCTTTATTTCTGTTTGACTTAGCTTCTTTTTAAGTTAGAAAGAAAGTCGCCGGTTGTATCCCGCTTCTGGAGTGAAGTAGCTGAAGAAGTAAAACAAAGAAAAGAGGAGGAAAATGCAGTTCGATCTGCTTCGTTGGGGCACCTCAGCATATTCGGGAAAACGGTAAGGAATTGGAGTAGGGCATTTATGAAAGGATCATGATTTTATTTGCTTATTCTGACACCTTTTTTCTGGAAACAGCTTACTCAATATGCAAATACGCAGGAAGCATCGACTAAAGATATGAATTTATCAACTAATCATCGTAAGCGAGGAATTGAGGTTGTGATTGATAACGAAGAAAATGGTTCAAATAAAAAGGTAAAAAAAAATTTAAGCGTTAAAATTATGAGAACATGCAAACTCATGTATATTTCTATATAGGAAAAAGAAAACACCGAGAATGATTCTGATAATAATGAGAATTTGCCATCAAGAAACAATAACGAAAATTCTTCCTCGGGGTTTGAAAATGAAGAAATCAATTTTGATTTAACCAACATTTCGAAAGAATTGAATCGTGAACCAACAGTTGAAGTATGTTTTGTTATCGATTTTTTTATCTCCTGCATCTTACAGTTTGCTTATGTTTTTAGTGGGAAGTTGATAATATCAATGTAACCAACCGATTTCGGCATTATCAGAAAGTTGTTCTCGCGAAGGCACAAAGATGGGGCTTAAAACATTCGAGCATCTATGAACTTCTGTAAGTGTTACCTACATTATTGTACCATTTACATTAGATATATTAAGCATTTTTTTTATTGTATTTAGAGCTTTAGCATCAATTATAGTGCTCTGTTGGCCATGTCCATATTCCAATTTCACAAACCAAGAATGGAAAAAAATTACAAAAACCAATCCTTACACTTTGCAAGAATCGCCATTACCACCAGAAATTTCATTATCTCTTCGAGAGACAGCTAGTAGACGTTTGATTGATGGAGATGTTTTCATGAATAGTAGTGAATCAGAATTAAGTAGAATTGTTGCACTAATGTTCAACAACCTGTAAGTTTGCTTGGCATACATCATCTTTCATCTTATTCGCGAAGTCGTAGCTTACATAAATATAATACAGGTATTATGGTATTCCGGAGGTTGCTCCATTAAAGCTGTCGGAAGAGGAACATTGCGATATGTTCATATATCCAATTGCTCGTTCATTTCGCAGAAATGATAAAGAATATGAACTCAAATTAAATCGGGCTAATGTAGGATCAAAGACAAGACCTGATCTTTCCTGTACAGTAAATGACGTACCAATTCTAAACTCCGAGTTTAAACCATTGGGTTGTACTCCATTGCAAGAGAAGATGGACCGATTGAAAGTTCAACTAAAGGCTCGGAAATCGATTAATCAACAATTGCAAAGAAAAGGAGGTCCAGGCGAGGCAGTTATGTTTTTAAACATTGGTATATATACTTTCAATTAATTACAAGAAATTGGAATTTTTTATAATTTGCTAACTTATACTTTTACAATGATAAGGTAACTCAATGGAATCGTTTTTTATGGATTTGAAATGTGATGGGCTATACCGCTCCTGGCCATTTCTTACAACCAAACTGGTGGTTGACAAGTCTACAATTCCATTAGCAGAGTTTGCAATTAGTCATTTGATGGCTTTGGAAGTATGATATGTTTTTATATAAGCTTATGAGGTATTTGTTTACAAATTTCACAATCTTTACTTATTTTGTAATGAGCAGGAACGCGTTGAAAAAATTGCCAAAGATTTTAAATACCGAAGTAGTCAATTTACGCCCCCAGCACAAATGTCTTACATACGCGAATTTCCGGATACACCACAAGTAAAAATGTTGCTCAAATAGAATGTATTATACCGATTTTCCGTTTGCACCTGAATTAGTTCAATCATATGAAGTTATATCAGGTAACAATAAAGCGAATACGTATACATATCGATATATTTTTTCTGATTTTTTAAGAATTTTTCTTGGCAAAAGTGATCGGCATTACAAATTATAACGCACGTGATTTTTATTTCAATCCGAAGTTTTTAACATTTGTGGGGAAAAAAATTGGATTCTATTTCATATAATAACACATATACAATAACGTATTTAAATGTATAGTAATAATAAAAATTAACTACATGATAAGCGAATTTTAGAAAATAAGTTATGCCTTCTAGGTAGTACAGATAAATTTTACATGCAGAATTTATTCTAACACGTTAATGAATATAATACAGTACAACAGATAATGGTACGAATTTTGTTAAATTTCCATTAACGCATATTTTTATTTAACATTAATTATTCGAGAATTTTCACATTCACATCGCTTATATATGCCATCCGCTACTTTTTTACAGGTCTTACAATATAGATGTGAATGGTGATTGCATTCGTCACAAACCTTACACCCGTGCTTCCACCCTCTAAAGATATGCCACTTTTCGAAGTAATTTCGACTTTTTTGATTTGTAAGTATATTATTCATTGTTATATTAAT